AAAGGGGATAGGAGGTCACACTTGCTGGCCTCATTGCATTCTTGGCGCAAGGCATCCTACGCGTCTTTGACTGGAGGTGGGCAAATCTGTCAGGTGCCTCTTGGCCTCCAGGGTTTTCTAGGGCCCCTCTCTCACTCTGGGGCCCAAGCCAGTATCAAAAATACTACCCAATAAGAGGCCATCTTCAATGAGAATGACTAATAAAGGTTTTCAGTAATGTCAAAAACATTGGAGAAAACATCTTCACCAACACCTCAAGTCCATTCTGCGCTTAAAATGATCCATTTCTAGGAAGACCATCTGGTAGAAACCATTGTTTGGTAGGAACCACTACCACCCAAATTCCCCTGTCATTTTGCCTGCTCATCTAATTCCAGTAGCATCTGTCCATCCTCACTGCAGACGTAACTCTGTTTGGGGGTGTCTGTAAAGATCTCCCTAGAGAAGCAGGTCTCTCTGGAACGGTCTCAAAGGCACCCTGGTTCCTGAGTGAGTCAGTGATAGGGTGGAGCAGGAGGGCGGTCCCTGGAAACTGTCCCCAAGTCAGAATGCTGTAGTCATTTTACCTCTAAATATGTAACTAATAAATTCTGTTTGCCCAGTCACCTCAGCATTAGGACGGGAAACCTGTCCGCATTTAGTTTCTCATTTACGACTGGGACATAGGATAATATTTATTAGGCATGTAAAACAGTACAGTGAGGGAAGCTGCAGCCAGAGTCCTTCGTTCTGGTCATCAGTCTGGGGAGTGAAAATATTGCTGCTGTCAACACTTTTGCTACCCACTGTACTAGTTGGTTGGGATGTGGTTAGAAACAGATCATTTAAAAGTGGTTCACCACTAAAGACAGGGAAGGGAAAAGGCGCTGTCTGGTGGGATAAGAGTCAATGCCAAATCCCTGGTCTTTTTGCCCCAGGTATTGTTCTGAGAGTCACCTCTGAGCCCAGCTGTGGGCTGTCCCAGGGCCCAGAATCAACATTTCCACCTAGTCATGTTTCAACCATGACATTAAATGATTGATAGGGAGGTATCTTTCCATGGTTGACTGAAAGATAAAAGTATTATCCCAACTTAACAGATTCCCATCTGTTAATATCAATAGACTAAATCAGTGTTTAAAATGTTTGTTTATAATGTATCACAGACAAGTTGTTCTGCCCACCCCCAAAGGCGAAATCCTACATAGGTATGATAGATCATTAGAATGACAAATAATGAGCCCCGAACAGCATGCAAAGTAGCTACACGAAAACAGATGATTGGTATCTCTTAGCTTAAAAAGGCTGTAGTATAGTCACTCTCTCATTTCAGGGAAGGGTCCCAAACAGAATAATCCCCCCAAATATTCTTCCACTTAACCCAGTACTGTTTCCATCAATTAATTTAATACCACAACTAACACAGGTTTCCCCCCAAAACTATTTTGCTGAGAGAGTAGGTTAAGCACCCTGGGCAGAAAAAGGAAGATATTTTTCCTTAACACTTACATTTTGTTTTCATCTTTGGCAGTGAGATCAGAAAGAAAATTTTAAAAAGCAGATTATCCACACATTCTTATGAGCTCGAATGGGTTTTACAGATACAGAGTATTGACATTTTGGGAATCTAGGGCAAAATCTTATTAATATTCATCACTGTTCTGTAGATTATATATGGCATCTGTGTGTTTCATTAAATTCCCTCTTCAACAAAAGGAAAAACACAAAAGTGCCACCATGACTTAGTTCACAGATCTAGGTCGATGCACCAGGGGACACCAACTTTACAGGACGATAAACATGGGGACGGACACACAGAGAGATGTCCACATTATAATACATACACATTACTCTTTACTTCAGGAAAAACAGAATAGCTCCTCTCCCACACTATAAAAATGCTCGAATGGAGAGAAAAAGCAAAATGAGAAATGTGTCATGGCAGTATAGAAAATCATATTCCAAAAGATATTTATATTTCCTTTTATAACTACAAATGACAAAGAGATATTGTTGCCCAAACCCTAAAAATCTTGTAGAGGTATGAATTTACTGTAAACTCAGGTGAGGAGGCTGGTACAGAACACTACTGTGCAGCAGTACTGTAATGTAAGCCATAATTTAAAATTTCCTAGTGGCCACGTTAAAAGTTTAATGTTTAATTGAGCACAATATATTCTAAGTACTAACATTTAAAAAAGTAATCAATAGAAAAATTATGGAGGTATTTAAATTTTTTTATACTCACTCTTCAAAGTCTGGAGTATAGTTTACACTCACAGCACATCACAAACGCAACTAGGTAATTTCAAGTGCTAACAGTTCTATGTTGTATGGCTTGTTGGTACCATACTTGATAGCACTGTTCTGTACTATAGAGCTTTCATTTGCATAACGTTAATGATAAATATTTGCACTAGAGTTTCTTCAGGGAAAAGCTTGCTTATAGTGAATTTTATTATAGAACCAAAAATGATGTATATATTAAGAGTATGGAAAGCTGCATTTTATAAAAAGGTCTAAATCTTTGTGCAATTCACTATAAGCAGTATGAGGTTTCCAGCTGATATACTGTCAAATGCCAGGGTCCTTAGTCTATTAAAAATGCTGTCCTCTGGTTAGCAGGAACCTCACAGAGTAAGACTGCATCACAGTCTCTTGTTCTCACACCAGCCAATCAGTTTACGGCAGGAAACGTGCTACTGTCCCAACACACACACTGGGTCTCACTCAATGATGCTGACCTTCCTAGGTCAGCTTTAGAACTGTTCAATTGTTTAGAGTACAGGCGTAATACAATCTCCTATGACTTAAATAAGTGGTTTTTAAAATGTTCATTTACTTATAATGTCATTTTGGCCTATTGCTGTAAGCTTTTTATGTGATGACATACTAAGGAAATGTGCATACATAAACATGAAGTCTATATAAAGATTTCTTCCTGTGAAATTCTCTAGCAGTAAACAGGAATCATGACATTCATTTCCTACCAAATAACTGGAATTGATGAGCCTTAAAATAGCTTCAAAGAAGGAATACTTTTGGAGCACAGAGAGAGTTCCAAAGTACATCTTCTCTTGGCTGATAATACTGAAAAACTAAAAATTAGCACACAGTAAAAAACCACAGTATATGCATTTAACTTTATTTTCTCCAAATAGAATGAAGTTTCACATGCTCTCCATACTTCTGGAATGGTTTCAGAAGTTTTTTCTCCTCTAAATATGGTTTCTCTTTAATAGTTAGACAAGCATGAACTGATAAGAGATTTAAGTATAAATAACTATTAAAAACACAACACAATAGAAAAAAGGTGAAAGACCTGAAAAGGAATTTTCAAGAAGACATAAGAACTCCCATAATAAAAAATGTTCAAACTACGTGTAATCAAACACATGTAAAATGAAATCACACGATCCCAAAAGTTGGTCAGGATCTAGGGAACCAGAAATTCTATTGTATCAATGGGAGCATAAGTTCGTTCCATTACTTTGGAAGACAATCTGGCCATACATATTAAAGTTGATGATGTGTTTTATTATATGACACGCCAATTTATTCAAGGTATACATCCACGCTTGTGTATGTGCACCAGAAATCACATACAAAATGTTCATAGTAACATTTCCTTTTCTGTTTAAAAGATGCAGTTCAACATCCAGCAACAGAAGGGAAAAACTGTGACACAGTCATACAAGTAAAATGAAACTTAACAGTGAAAATAAACAACTAGGATACTTGTTTCAAAATGATAATACCTAATTGCAATGGACATACAAAAGAAGTGACAAGAATAGTTTAATTTTATTTATTATTTAAGGATACATACATGGAGGTAAAATTAAAAAGGACAGAAGGGCTGTGACCAACGAAGAGCTAGGAGAGGGGCTCTGCTGACAAACCAGGATGGGCCGGGGTCAGAGGAGAGCTCATGGTGCTTGAACGGAAAGGCAGTAAAGCTGGTGGCAGGCACAGGGGTTTACACTCTTTACATACAGATTTTATATATATATGTATATATGTATATGTATATATATATATATGTATGTATATATGTGTGTGTATGCATATATGTTCCATTGCATATATAATGCATATATAATGTAATTTTAAATTGGAGTGATTGTAACAATCATAGAAAAAGATTATCCAACACCTTTCGGATAATGCCCATCGCCTGGAGCACCATGCACTGACCTCAACTCTATCACTCACCACTCTGCTGTGACTGCAGTTTTTGCTTCTCTGTTTCTCTTGTCCTTCAGTGTGGAGACTACGGTCCTGCTCAGACAGTGCCTATAACATTCTAAGGGCTGACTGAAAAGATGACTAAACTAACCTGACCTGCATTTCTGGGAGAACTGGGAAAACTTCAAAAGTCAGGGTTCAAAGTGGGTGGCTTATTTGGTTTCCCGCTTTAGCACATTCTGCAAACTTACAGCCTGTTCTCTTTTACTCTTTTATCTATCTCCTCCTCCACCCTCCCCGTCTTGGTGTTCAAGGTTGGAAGTAGTTCAGTGATGAGATCAACTTTGGTCGCTGCCTTCAGAAAGGTTTTCTTCTACTTTCAGAGATGGCTGCATTAAGGGTGGCAGCTACCCTGTACTTGGTTTCTTCCCCCAATTAGGGGAACAAATCCAGCAGCCTGGGGCTTCAGTGCACTCAGGAAACCAGAGTCATCTACTTAAACCAACCAAAGGACCAGTGATTTAATGCCATTCTTGGTCCTGGTTGCTGTCTGCGATGATTCTGTGGTCACCACCCAACACACACACACACACACACACACACACACACACACACACGCACACACACACACACACACACACACACACACACAGCACCCACATCTCCTCAACTGGCCCAACGACATGCCTGCACTTTTACGACAGATCTGTGGCTGTGGGGCTCACAAAGGGGAGTGGAAACCCAACTGAACAGGAAGGTTCCAACCACACACAGAACTAAAATCGGAAAAGGTGTAAGAAATGGCAGGGAACAAACACTCCAGTTGCAGAATATGTGTTTTCTGGAATTTATTCCTCTTTAATGATGAATATAAAATCTGAGACTTCACCAATGCCTTTAGGACAATCTCATACAAAGTGAAATGTAAAAATAACAATTATGTAGATCAAGGTGTGCCCTGACACTTAAGAAAAACTGCTAAATGAAAACCATTTCTAGGAAAAGCAAAACCCTCTACAGCAAAATCAAATTTAAAAAGACCGAAACAAACAAAACAGAAAGAGACTTTGGTACCTTTCAATAACAGAGGAAAAAATAGGTTTAGTTCATTATAAATTCATGTAATACAAAAACATCTACATGGGATGTTGAATAAATCTATAAAACAGAAACAAATCTAAAATATATTAAATTCTGAGAAAAAAATCTTCCTTTTCTCCTCTTTGATTTTAGTAGAAAGCCAGAATTTGGAATAAACAAGTATTTCCCCAACTAAATCTCCTGGTCTGCATATACCTGGCAGGATGGCACTCTATTTCAGCTGAGTTTGAAACGCCATGCTCTGACTGCTGGCAGCACATGCCCTTTGTCCCGACACATGTCCTACAGGAAATAAAGATTCTCTCTTGAAATGCCCTTGAAATTACACCTATGCCTGCAATTCTCATCCAGTTTCCTTCCTAAGCTGTTAAGACTGTGATGACCTAAATCTACAGGCAGTTAGTTAAAGAAGGGGACATGAAAATCATTACATGTATGATACGTAGCTGGTACAACGGTACCAGGAAGGACACAATATTCTCTCACGACAGTGTGGTCCCAGAGAGCAACCCCTCAGAAGCCTGCAGAGCCTGGGTGTGCTTCCAGCTCACTCAGAGCAAGTACGGCCCGGACGATGCTGACCTCCTATTTCTTTGCTGATTTAAAAAACAAAAGTGGGGTGAGGGGTAGATGGTGTGTAACTGTTGTAGTGATTTAGCACTACTATTCATCTAGTCTGTTTAGGAGAATCATACTGGGCCTACCATAGCCACAGTCATTCAAAAGTTTGAAGAAAAATCTTTGTTTAGCAAGTATTGTATTGATCCTATGACCCCAGAATTTAACTTACAAACCCTCAATCTTCACAAGTTGGTTCTTGGTGCTCACTGGCAAGAGTTAGACAACATAAATTAGATCCCTAATGTAACATTAAAAAAATTTAATTGCTGGAGCCTAAAAAGAAATTCTGTCTTATCAGAAGACTCATTTACTCAGACACATTACGCAGTTTAAAAAAAATTCTTGGATAGTCCCTGGGATTTAGCAAATGGAATTTGACCTGGATCTTATTTAATGCCAATGAAGCAGGAATACCCATGATTTCACAACAGCTTTCCTTACACAAAAAACTGCTGATCATGTATCTATTCTAGCCAAGTAGAAGTCTGTGGCAAGCTTTGCTTCTGGTTGTAGCCCTGGGCTGCAAGTCTCAGGCTGGGATTTCGGCTTTAGCTTTTAACAAGTCCACATTTAGCAAGTTGGGGGGTGAGAGGACACAGGAGACAGGGCTTTAATACTTCTGTTCTTTTAACTTCTCATAAACTTGCTGCTCAGAATCTAAATGGCAGGTCTGGCATCACGATGCTGAGAATAGCAGAACACTTTAGGCAATCCTCCGATAGTTGATCCTAGTTAATCAAGACTGTTCCCATGTTTGGCAACTAAAAACTGTAGAAAATGTAAACAGGGACAAGGATGCAAAAAACGTAGGCTCTGCCCTAATACAATGGACATGTCCAGTGTTTATAAGTATCCACTCCAAAGGGAGGAAAGGTTTTGTATGCCAAGTATAATTCGGATTTATCTCAAACAGCCCCTTTCTCATGTATGCTTCTCTGAAAACTCACTGAGCTTATCCATGGAGTGAGAATGTGTGTCCACACTACTGTGAAAAATCTGGGACTATGCATTGGCAAGAAACATACACTAGCAAAATTAGAAAACCAATGGAAAGACAGGAAAAAATTAAATTGTGCAGCAATATGAGTATCTTTTGATATGCCTCATCAAGGGTTCATAAAATATATCCAACCAAGATCTTCCTTTCTAAAAAAAATATAATCCCTTCACAAAATAGAGTAAGCAGCTGTTAGTCAGGGTAGCTGCATTCAAAAATATATTGATATGTGCACCTACGTACAGTAAGTTGCCAGAGCTCAAAATGCCTTCAGGTATGAGTCGGATACTTTCCTTATAAATTTACTATCTAATTAGTGCACCTCTTAAAATATATCTTTTAAATAGTCTTATGCATTTAGATGAAACATTCCCCTTGCAAGAGATAAAGCAGCATCTATTTTTGAAAATAGCAATTATTTCCATCCCTACGAGTTGGTTCTGAACACACACTGTTGTAACAGTGATTTCTGGAAACATATGCAGGAGCTTGGAGGATTTAAAGGGGTAAGAGTTTACATTACCAGAAGGAGGAAAGAACCCCCGACTTTTTCTGTAGTGTTATCGTAAAGCACTAGAATAGTGACCTGTGTGATTCTGTAGCAAAAATCTTCATCCCTTTATCAACCAGCATTTTTTTTCTTTTTGAAAAAAAAAAATCAATAGATTTTAATAACCCAGCAGACTAACTTTAAGGACACAATCCAGGCAGCTTAAAGAGAAGCAGGTTTGAGCAATACTGGCAACAACTACAACCTAGGGCAGATCCAGCATTTTCTCTCTGATGGCACCACTTACTTATCTTTCAGTCATTAAGGAAACACACCTGTAACAGGGTATAGTACCTCCAGGTGAGTGAGGCAACCACAGGCAATTCTGAAAATAAGAAAAAACCCACCACAGTTCTGATTTGGTTTAAAGCAATCATGCAATCCCATTATACCCACATCTTCCAAAAACACCTTTTCCGAATGCAAGCAAAGTTACTGATGATGAATGTGGCTTTTGTCACAGTGATGCATTAGGTAAGCAGGTGTGTGCTGAGTACCAGGGGGCGCTCCAAAATGCATCTCCATCATCTTCCACTTGTCTTCTCTAAGGTTCTGCCTATTCATTTAAAAACAAACAAAAAAAGCAGTTATTGCACTGTATTAACAAGAAAATTCACCCTGTCAGTGAAATTTTAAATGTCAGGAACAAAGATGTTGGGAATCACAATAAATCATCCCCATGTGATTGGTAAGAACAAATCCTGGGTTCAGCCTCTCAGAGATACTGTTCCACTTGCACCCAGGTAAGCAGGGAATGTGGGGGTCACTGCATTCTGAGGGCCAGTGGGGAGTGACCTGAGGGGAAGAACAGCACTGCATGGCCATGCCTACTGCCAAAGAGCTGCTGCCCCAATCCCTGGGAGGGCTCCATGATTCAACCACCGAACAGACACCTGGTGCAGGGCCTCCCGCCTGATCCAGCCCTGGCAGGTCAGGGCCCAGGTTGCCATCACTCCCAAACGGCAGCATTCTGAACGCAGAAACTTCTACTTCAGTCCCTGCTTTGAGTCTGTTAAAAGAGTCTTGATGGTTTTCTACCTGAAAAATCACTGGTGATAAGGTTTCCTTTTTCTTAAGTAGGCACCATGGTGGGCCAAACACTGCTGGCCTACACAGCAAAAGAAGACAGTGGGTTTCCCCAGGGTTTTCTTACCTTTCAACTTTTTGAAAAAAGCGGGAAATCTGTTATTTTTAAATACTAACAACTCATTTAAATTCTTTTAAAAATTCTTGTGCAGACGAACTCATCCAGAGCCAGTGCGGCCTGCAGGCCACCATTTAGTGACCTCCCGCCTGCCCCGCCTGCCCCGCCTGCCCCTGAGAACTGCCAGAGTGTGCACTGCACCTGTGCCCTCTGGGCCCGTACAGTGTTCTTTTCCTACCATCTCTCCTCACTGTGTGAGAACAATTACAGAGGCTAATGGTGTCTTCCTATGTTCCCTGGCAGGCTTTCTAGCCCCGTCTTTTAGCTCTGTGTTGTAGCGAGGGGAGGAGAGGAGATGAGAAAAGGGGGCTTCCGTCTTCTAGTGCATTACACCTGTGGACACTCTGCCCAGGCCTTCGTGCACAGACTAGATAATAAATTACCACCGAGGTGAAAAACAAGTAACCAGAAAGGGTGGAAATGCTCTGAAGGGTACGTTTATTTCTCTTCTCTGAAGATGAATGTAGTATGAGTTGCCACTGACCCTTCAAGGCCTCTTTAAATGGTTAATGGTGGGGGTGGCACGAACCACACCATGCACTTCCACCCTGCTTCCACGTGTCCCTACTCAGGTACGCCTGACACAAGCACCTGTGCACGGTGGGCTGAAGGGGTGGGTGTGCCTGGAATCCTTGCTGCCTTTGGATTGGTCTGATAAAATCACGTCAATGTCAATGCCATCAAACCCAACTTTAACATGATGACCACAAGTCACGTGAGAATGTGTATTTTATAGGTCATAGGTTTCTTGAGAAATTTCTGAGATAATAAATATTTTTAAAGAGTAGAACGGTCAGCCTTGGCCAGTGTGACTTAGTCAGTTGGAGTATCATTCCTTAGACCAAAGGGTCGCAGGTTTGATTCCTGTTGGGACACATCCGCAGGTTGTGGGTTCCTTCCCTGACTGGGGGCCTATGAGTAGGCAACCAATCACTGTTTGTTTCTCTCTCTAAAAAGAGCAATAAAACAATCTCCTCAGGTGAGGATAAAAAAAACATATAAAGAGTAGAATAGTCAGTCTACAGTCTCCAAGGAAGAGGAAAATAAGAACAAAGCAGGCAAGTATGCATGGTATTTTTTAAAGGTTTTTGCGTAGACAGTGATGACCCCTGGGTTTATGCACCCATTAGATTACTTCTACTTCAGTGTTTTTCCAGTTCTTTGAAGATAAATCTGGACTGTTTGATACTCTTGGATGAAACCTGTTATAAAATACTACAATTTTCCTAGCAAGTATTCCAATGTTCCATCATTATAAAAAGAGTCTTTAAAACCTTTTAATATTATATGTGTGGGTTTTGCCTCTATTTAAAACGTGTACATGGAAACCGCCCACAACCATCTGTGGACTGACTGGTGCACAAACAAAGCACGACTTCACACTGGTTATAAACTACGGGGCCTGTCCAGTGGTTTTTATCATTGACAGCCCCTGCCTTCCTTCCCACAGGTGTTCTGGAAATGGCACAACTCCGAGGTAGCCTCAAAAGGCCTATTACTTACAGACATCAAAGATCCCAGCAAGGCACTTTCAATCCAGTGTGAAAAATGACACTTTAGAATTCGGTCTCACTGAAACACAGTCAAAACCTTAACTGCAAGGTATATAAAGATTGCAAGGAAATACAACAAAAATGTTAATGTGGTTTTTCTCTGGGTGATATGGTTTTTATTTTATAGTCTATACTTTTTTGTACTCCCCCAGTTTTCCCAAATGAGCCTAGTCTACTTTCATAATCAGGGGGAAAAAACCTCAAAAACCAGTGTTTTTAAAAGGGGAAATAATCAAAATATCTGATTTAATAAGGAAATGCTGTTTTTCAATTTTGAAAGAGAATCCACGTGTTTCACAAAGTTGTGATAATATGCATCATTTCTAGGCCTAAATATTAGAAAACCTTGAGCCTTCTGTGTTCTCTAAGACACACAGGACATGAGAGATTAGCTTTAAAAACATTTTGATTAGTTGAAGAATTGTAGAGTTTTTCTGAGGTTGACTATTTGTTAGTGCAGACCATCTCTTTTCCAATTTAAATGAGTTCAATATACAAAAGACCCTAAAAATATGGCTTTGAGGCTGCTATTTCAAAAACATAAAGTAATGTAAACATACATTTAAAAACTGAAAGCAACTACTACTTTTTGCTACCTTAAATTCTTCTTGGAAAAAGGGGATATCAATGATAAAATTATAAATAAAAGATTATAAATTATTATAAATAAATGATAAATTATAAAATAAATACTAATATACAGCAACAATTGAAAACTGGCAAGAAAAATTAGGCTTCTTTTTGTGTTTACACTGGCAGTCTCCAATTTTGCATTCAAGAAAGTGAAAGCTAAATATTTAGGATATATATGCATTCCTCTAACACCCTCAACCTCAACTGAGAACAATTAACAATAACGAAAGAAAAAGAAATTAAAAAAAAATTTTACTTATCGATGTTAGAGGAAGGGGGAGAGAGAGAAAAGAGAGGGAGAGAGAAAAGCAGTGACTCGATGCCCCTCCCACTGATGCTTTCATTGGCTGCTTCGTGTGTGTGCCCGGACTGGGGATCAAACCCACAACCTTGACATGCCAGCACGATGCTCTAACCAACTTTGCCCAAGAGGGCAAAAAACGACAAATTTTAAAACAAGAAAAAATTTACCTACCTTGGATGCCAACCGTGATTTCAGGCCTAAGAATGAAAAGACTGTGTTGCTTTCCTTTGATTCAAAAAAACTGTCATAATCCTAGAAAAAAGGGGGGAGGAGAAAATAAACAAAAGCAAACTATTATCTTTGTATCTGGTGCTTCTGACAATTCTTTATGGAAATAAAAAATATACCATTGCTCCATCCAGGCCAGGAAAGAGCTATATAAATATACTAATTGATCTGTTCTACTGCAGCCTAAAAATTCCTTTGAGTATGATGGTAAATGTAACAAGTTTTTAACCCAAAGCCTGTGACAAGATTAAAACATAAAACACCGACAAGAGAAAGTAAATTGAAACACAGTCCCTGTCTTTCATGTGCCAAACTAATATTTATTTGTGTGAAATCATTGTGACCTAAGATTTTATTTTAGCACTTCAATATGGAAGGCTGCCTCCCAATTCTACTCTTGATATTTTGTTATCTAGGGCTCTAAAAATATGTATCGCTGGGTAAACAGAAACCTGTAAAGGTCTCCATGTGTCAATATGAGTGCTTCTCTTCTGTTTTTGAAGTAGTCCACACTCTTTAAGACTGTGTCTTTAGAGAGAACAAAAAGATCAATAAAAACTAGAGAAAACTATATTCTCTATAACATTTACCTTCACCTCAGAAGCAGAATCATTTTTCTCTCCTTACTTTCACAAAAGAAGCCATTAAAGAATTCTGGTCAATATGTTAATCAATTGTTTCTTTTCAAAAGTCTGCATGTATAATACTATACAGTTTCTAAGTTGAGGTAAAGCAGTCTCAAAATTTGGTAGAGGTCCCTTTGATAACGTCACCCTAAGGATAAATATTGTAAGCAGACACGGATCAGAATCATTTCTAGGCATTTCCTTTGTGCCAGGTACCTTACAGTCACTCTGTCATTTAATCCCCACCATAGCCTACCTGGTTGGAGAGCAAGCCAAAAAAAAAAAAAAAAAAAAAGCCCAAGTTTGAAAGTCAATATATGAGAGAACTGAGATTTAGACCCAACACTTACTGATATTGTATTTGATGTTTTTTTTGTGCTTTCTGATGCTTCTCACCCAAGAGGAATGCAAGTGTGGAGCCCCCTGTATACAAGTCTCTAAGCCCTTATGAAAATCCACTGCTCAGCTGAACCAATGGCATCACAAGTACTTTTGAAACCTGTCTAGGAATCTAAGAGTCAATACTTATAGAGTAGAAATCATGTACAGGTTCTGAGCAAGGGAACTGAATGGTCAAGTTTCCTTTAAGAAAACAGCTAAGTCAACTCTGTGAAGAATGGTCCAGAGAGAGGGCAGGGGGAAGTCAGAAGAGTACTGTGGCAATTTAAGCAAGAGATGGTGGCAGCCTGAACCACTGCAAATGATAGTGGAAGATAGAGAGAAGTGGACAGACTGGAGGTAGATTTTGGAGGAAGAAATCATCATAATCAATTGTGGAATTAGTGGAGTGGGTTAGGGTGAATTAAAAATTAAAGCAACTCTGAGCTTTGTGGCTTGATAGAAAAGACCAGAGAAAAAGCACATTTTGAAACCTGCCTAAGAATTTAAGCGGGAGTTGATGACTTATAAAGTGGAGATATGCTTCTTGCAAAGCATGCCTCAGCTGATGAAAAATCTTTGAATTAGATGACTCAGTGCAGAGACCCTACTGTCCAAATGCTTTGTCAGGATAAGGTTGGAGTTAAATTTCAAAATGTTAAGTTTGAGAAATTGTATGAGACACCCAAGTGAAGAAGATTATAAACAGGGCTGTTGGAGGTTCCTAGTGACTTTACAGTATTACAGATTTTGCAGAATTTTCTTAAAAAACAATTTTTTAAATAAGAAAACTATATTACAAATAATACAAGTCTAAAGTTGATGTGGAATTTAGGCGAAATCCCATGAATGATACAAATATTCTTTATAACAAAGCTACCTCCTAGCAGTTGAGGGATATGATACTTCACTGGGCTCAGGAAATAATCCTGACTGATGCATGCATTTTCTATCTGGTCATTTTTGCTTATATTCAGTGTGGTAATGGGAGGGAGACGGCTGAACCACAGCCCTATTTATCTGATCCTTATGAACACCAGTGTACTTGTCCCTCCCCACACCAGACTTGGCCACTATTCATTCTATATTCTTTCCCTGGAGAACCTCATTTAGAGTCATGGTCCTAATCAAATTCACATCTTTACCTCTGATTTCTCCTCTCAGTTCTGGTTTTATATAAGAACTAACTGTTCACAAATTCTTAAACATAAGGGATCTAAATTGCAATACATGATCTTCCTGCCACACCACAAGATGGCCCTTTAAGAAAAATGGCACTGCCATCTAACAGATTCTATCCACCACGTCAGCAATTGAAGTACCACAGGCAGACTCCCCTCTTTCCTGAACCGGGAACTGCCTTACACGTTTGTTCAACCTCTCCCTGTTCAACACCCATTCCATTGCCCTAATCCAAGCCAGACTTCTGCAGTAGCACCTCAATTTATTACCCCTTGTCCAATCTAACCTGTTTCCACCGCATCATTTTCAAGTAAGGACAGACTGATCTTTTAAAAATGAGACACTGATCATGCTGTCCTCTTCTTAAATCCTTTCCTTCAGGACTTTTCATTGCTGTTATAACACAGATTCAAATTCTTCATGTGGCATACAGGTGCTGTGTAGTCCAGCTCTGACTTGGTCAAGAGGTCTTCATTTCAACATACCAAGCACCATCTGGTTCAGATTCAGTTCTGGGAAACTAAGTGGTATATACACTCAGTCCACTATGATATCCTGCAATCTACTGAGTTATGTGACCTTGATCAACTCATTTAAGCTCCTCGGACTATTTCTTTCTTTCTGCATCAGACACTACCAAAGTCCCTTGAAGCACCAATATTCTATGAAAGGATGGAGCACTGAATGTAGCTGCTCTTCAATGGGCTGTTTGGCTGTGTCCAGGGGTAAAGTCACTCACATATTCCAGTTAGTAAAATATCTGTTTGAAAAACCTACCCCTCTCTGGTTTAACTGACTAGGAAAGGGAAGAGACAATGTGAGTGGAAAAAAAAAGACTAGTGACTTAGTCATCAAAATGCTGTCCCTGCTTTGAATTTTCAAAGGTCTTTACCTGTTTCTATTTGATTAATCATCTCTGATGTCCGTTTGAAATGCAGGAATGAAGAAACTACTAATGTAAGGAATAAGAAATGAGAAGCAATGCCTGACTCAATCTCTGTAAATGCAGCCTGCTTTTTACTTTAAAAGACTAAAGTGCTAACATGAAAATATCTTGCATGTAAAAGATCAAAAGATAAGTTACAATGGAAATGTGTACAATTCAGGTTTCACTGTTTATATTAAAAACCTTAATTTACACCCTGGCTGGGTAGTTCACTTAAGTTAGAGCCTCATCCTGATAAGCCAAGGTTGCAGGTTCGATCCCTGTCAGGGCACATACAAGAATCAACCAATGAATGCATAAACAAGTGGACCAACAAAGTGATGTTTCTCTCTTTCTCCCCTCTCTCTAAAATCAATCAATAAAAACTTTAAATACCTTAATGTAAAAATAAGTACAGTTCTTCAAATCACAATATAGGACATGTGAAATTTATACATGTAGAGAATATGTAACTTTATAAACAATCCATTTAACATTGAATCAAAACTGTTCTCATAAATTCTCATCGTCAAAAAAGGTATATAGAAATTTCAGATATTCAGAAATCTCAGAAGAATAGCATTTCTCATTTAGATTAAAAAATCCTCTTTAACTGTATCTGTGTCATAAACATCATAAGCATTATCTTTATTTTATGAACCTTTAACTCAGTGCCATGTAAGTTTAGCTAGGGAGGTTCTTACCTGAATTGGATCCTCCCGACAGTTTAGTAATTGTCACTGAAGGTAATTAACTCCTTCCAAAGTGACAAATATACAATTTGGTAATTAACTTTAAAAGCAGAATAATTTAATGAAATCATTTTAAAAGTCAATGTTAGAACAGTACCTGACACACACCAGGTTACCAGTAATACTTGTCAAGTGGACGAATTTGTTCTCTGCTGATTGATGTCTGCTGTGCCAAGTTTTAGGTAGTCTCATGCTAGTACCATAATTTGAATAAATCCTACTTCTATGTTATTGCTTACAGGTTTTAAAGAATTATGCACACAATTCACTGTCTGATGTTCAAAAGCTTCTGAGTGGACTGATGAATATGAAAACGTAAAAGGTTAAATTATTTTCCTTGTCATGTTTAGGCAGAGTACATGATTGATACTTTAAAATCTAGGATTTCTAAACAGTTAATACTGCCTTCCAGAGAAAAATTAAATAGTATGATGTGAATTAATTTAAAATAGTGTTAGAAATTTTAAAATCACATCCTACTGACTATAAGTACAAGTTATTATGGCCCTAGGCGTTCCCCAATAAAAGAGAAAAATCTGCCTTCTTATCAAATTCATTTCACTTATCAGGCTTATATTTTAGAAATACATTATGGTTTATACTGCAAATGTGAAAAGCACTGTATTTTAAAAACTCGCTATAAAGCTTCTCAATGGGCTTGCTGAATTCCTTACAGTCAGACACTGTCTCTGAGTGTTTTTAAATACATGTCTGCAAATGACACATTTCAGGACAATCGACCTTCTGTTAATGACCAGTGAAGAGCACCTGTGGAGAAGGGCACAAACAGCACATGCAAGATCAAAACTGCCCGGTTCCCAATGCTGGTACATGTTCAGTACATTAAAGAAAAACGTTGCAAACTCCCTTTGTTTCTAGTGTTGACTACTTATGAAAAGAAAAATTTCTGGATTATACAGATATCAGCATAACTGAGCACTATTACTAATTTAACATTTATCTGAATGTTGCAATTTTAAGAAGAAAGCAAGCTAAAGAGCTGTTAAAAAGGAAAAAATAACTTCCGTCATCTATACTTCTGTTTGTGTTTAAGTGAAAACCAATATCAGAAACATTTATAAGCTCATGAAAAAATCTACAACAGGTAAAGTCCACAATAGTCTTATTCTTCCAAAGAGCTTACTTAAGGACATTGGCCGT